CGACGACGCGCTTTCAAAACAAAGAAATTTGGTGTTTCCACAAACAATAGTATTATATGTTTTATCGCCATGCAAACCTACAAAGAACTTACAAAAAATTTGTCATGCAAGACAAAAACTGTCAATAATTCGTGGTCCCAGGAGTATTGTCAACAGGGTTGTCATTCTCAACACAACGTTAATCAAGCATTATTATTACGTCTTTCAGTCAACGTGAAAGCTTAATGCGACTCAAGAGGTGTTATACTTAAAGTTGAAATTACAGCAAACATTGCATCCCTTTAGCCGAACGTAGCAGTTTGTAAGGTTATTTGAAAAAGCGTCAAATATTTATTACAGTAGTCAAATTGCTTACCGCTCATTCTTGAGCTGAAATTTAGACCGCGTCGTTGAGCCGGCCGCGTCGCAGATCATAAACTCCCTATTATCGCATCTAGTTACGGCCCTGCCTGTTGTTCAAAGCTAGATTTGTACTAACCTTGGGTTAAATTTTAACCTGCTTTTTACTACAGAAAGGGCAATATTACTTTTATCGATCCAGACAAGATTTCTAAAAACATGCCCCGCGGATTTGCTTGAATACACACAACACAATGGACAAGCTGGAGTCTGACAATGACTTATCTATAACTTATAAATATAGGATCACATTCTCAAGTTCAAGATATAATTAGCGAGCCAAAATACCTGAATTAAAACTGATCTCAGAGATTAACAACCACTTTCCACCAAAATATAACCGCAACTTCATAAACCTTGCTGTATTTTCACAAAGTGACAAAGTTACATTTGCATTGTATGAATCATCTTTGGCTTGAAAATCTCTTGGACAGTACTGAAGAAACAGTGATGTGTCTGAGAAATTGTCTTCGGTTGAAGACAAGAATATATGTGATCTACTAAATACAGCATTATCACGTTTCTTGTCAACCTTCACAGTTAGTATAACATCTTTGAACTTTCTCATACCAGAAAACTCGAACGTGATGTCAATATATTGTGATTGAGTAGCATTCCACCCTACCCATCCATTGCCAATATGTTTTTTCGAGTCAGCAGGACCAAATTTGCCATCTGTAAGTATTCCAGTGCCATGTTTGTAAAAGCCATTCGTGATTACTCCATTATAAGATGTGTCTTTGTAGAGCACTTTGCCATTCTTGGTTGTTTGCCCAACTGGCATTGAGTAGGAGAGAATACCTAGAATAGTAAAAGAGTACAATGTATAATTTACATCAATTACAGTACAACATGGCTAAAGTAAAGAAATACAATGTTCTGTACCAGTACAGCATAAACTTTATACACAGTATAACATGCATTGGTGAATAAAAGAAAACAAAATTACCACAAACCTTCTTCAGCCACACAACCATATAGCTCAAGCCTCATACAGGTATTGGCACCCGTATTATAACCTGGATGAACCCTGATGTACCTTGCCATAAATGCAGGATCTAGATCGTTTCGTACAACAGTGGATACATCCTTGTTTCCAGGAAATATCTGAAACAGAGTATGAGAGTAAATATTTTTAACACTTGGATCGGCCATCAAGATGCATCATCTGTCTCAGTGTAAAATACTAAACAAGCTATACAAACAAATTTAATATGAGATGAACTATCTTTTTTGCGCAAGTAAAGTTTGTCCAGATAATCCATGTTTGTTGATATTCACAGACTATAAAATGAGCAACATGTAGACAAACCTTTTTATAGCACCTGAATTTATAGGTTCAGACCAATCAGAGGATTCCACAATAAGGTCACAAAGATGTGTATATGTACATAGTTCATGCAAAATCTCTATCCATATGAAATATCTTTATCAAATTTA